TCAAAATAAGTTCACATTCTCTACAGAGAACATACTTCTGCACTTTTTAATGCACAGTTACTGTTTATTTGCTGAATTAAACATACTGAAACAAAACAAAACAAAATTTGATCTGTGCACAAGTTTTTTTCTCAGCAAATAAACAGAAATTGTGCACTAACATTTGCAGAAAAATGTCATATTTAGGTTTGTTCCTTGAAGAGGATGTGTTATTTTCATGTCTCAACAAAACATGTAATTTAACTAGGAGTATCCAAACGTTTGCACATGACTATATAATAAGGCTGCACAAATTGTGAAATCAATATTGACCACAAATGAAGGCTGTGTATAAGCAGTGCAGGAAAAAGAAACAGAGAAAGCCATTAATAATTATATAAAAAACACAGAGTCTGGTAAAAGATTTTATTCTGACAGCCAATCAATCAAAGTAAAGCAGTGCCCTGCTCCAAAAATGCTGAATTTCAGGTAACTAATGTGCTGAGAGAATATGTGCAAATAGTGCAACTGTGTCAGAGGCAACAGAAATAGGGGAAGAGAGAAACAGAGATGATACGAGTGCACATTAAGAACATGCTTGGTCCATTTGTCATCTCTGTTCAGTTTTCAAAGCTTTAAAAAATTAAAGTAAACAGCATTATTAGCTAATGTAAGCTAACATTCAAGTGAGCAGTGAAACTGTGTGAAGAATAAAGATGAATGTCTGCACACTGTGTTAAGAAAGCTCCCTCATTTATTACAGTTTCGACCACTATGGACTTTGTCAGGCAAAAAAAGTGGTAGAAACATTGCTATAATAAATGAAGGACATTCATCCTCTTCAGTAATCCTAAAATAATAATCACATTCTTCAGTAATCTCTTTTGTGTCCTGCACCTATGCTAAATGGAGGAATGTACATGCACTTTCTTTGGATTTTGTAGTCTCAGGTATCAAGTCAAGTCAAGTCAAAGTTTATTTATATAGCGCTTTTTACAACAGGTGTTGTCACAAAGCATCTTTACAGAAAAATCCGGGTCCAAGGCCCCATGAGCAAGCCAATGGCGACAATGGCAAGTAAGAACTCCTTAAGAGCAAGAGGAAGAAACCTTGAGAGGAACCAAGACTCAAAAGGGGAACCCATCCTCCTCTGGTCGACACTGGATAGGAAATAGCATTACTATAAAATATAAGAATACGAAACGGGGAAAATAGGTGGAGCAATGGTTACTTAAATAGTTTTTGCATCAGCAGCAGTAGCATCAGGGTCAGTTCATGCAGGTGAGGTTTGCACAGTGTTGTACAGCGTGATGCTCCAAAGTGTTCAAAACGGTCCAGAAGGCTGAAACAGTCCAGAAGGCTGGCAAGCAGTGGGCACCTGATTAAGGCAGAAGAAGCAACAGCATCAGACCGCACAGGATGGGGAGTTGTTCAACTCGGCAAAGAAAAAGAAAACACACAGAGATAGTTCTTGAAGAGTGACAGGGTTAACAGAGTGCAGCAGACTCCGGCAGGTCTAGTTATTACAGCCTAACTAAAAAGGAGAAACCAGAAAGGTAAAAGAGACATGAGGGCTCCCTGAGATGTCAGCACCCCTCTGCTCCACCGTCAGCAAACTTGAGTGAACGCATAAGAGTAGCGGGACAACAGCACCAACACTCCCAGTTTACCATAATACTCTATGTCCATGAACCCCCAGATCTGCACCTTTTATCTAACAGGAAAAACTAATTACCAAAGGCTTGACTAAACAAGTATGTTTTTAGCCTAGACTTAAAGACTGAGGCTGTGTCTGAGTCCTGAACACTGGCTGGAAGATTATTCCAAAGCTGGGGGGCTTTGTATGAGAAGGCTCTCCCCCCTGATGTAACTTTATTAATTCTAGGTACTAATAGTACGCCAGCACCTTGTGATCTAAGTAGGCATGATGGTTCATAGCATGAGAGAAGTTCACTCAGGTACTGAGGGGCGAGTCCGTTTAGAGCTTTATATGTCAGTAAAAGAATTTTGTAATCGATGCAAAATTTAACTGGCAACCAGTATAGGTTTGATAAAACTGGGCTGATACGGTCAAACTTTCTGGTTTTTGTGAGGACTCTGGCTGCTGCTTTCTGGACTAGCTGAAGCTTGTTAAGGCTTTTGGTGGAAAATCCAGACAGCAGGGCATTAAAGTAATCTAGCCTTGAGGTAATAAATGCATGAACTAGCTTTTCTGCATCCTGTAGAGACAATTCATTTCTTAGTTTAGCAATATCGCGGAAATGGAGGAAGGCTATTCTAGTAATATTTGATACATGTGCGTTGAAGGACAGATCAGGATCTATCGTGACACTGGGATTTTTTACAGATGAACCTGACGCAACTGAGAAACTATTAAGTGTTAAGTGTAGATAGTTTGTTTTTAGCAGCTTTTGGACAAGAAGCAGAACCTCTGTTTTTCTGAGTTAAGTAGGAGAAAGTTACTCGACATCCAGTCTTTTATGTCTTTTATAAAGTCCTCAATCTTGCTAAGTTGAAATTTATCATCTGGTTTGCTTGCTATATACAACTTTGTGTCATTGGCATAGCAGTGGAAGTGGCATAGCAGTGGAGTCAAGTGTGTTTCAATTCAAATGTGTTTGTATGTGTTATTTTTTGACGATTTGACGATAGTGATTAAACTTACAAAAAAGTAAGCAAGCTGTAGAAAATATATGGATATTTGTATTTTTGAGTAGTTAGCTTGAACTATGAGATTAAAGCCAAGTTAATGTTACCAGAGTAAGGGACTGCTTATCAGTCATAATCAGACATTCAGACATTGCACACAGTATCTGTCTGCACAGCACAACATACAGGCACATGAAGTGTGCTGAAAAGCCTCTCTGGTCAAGAGCTAATGTTGGCTTTGCATTCAGTGCAGTGGAGACATCTCCTGATAACTTGACGAGAACCATCAACGCTCTGAAATGCCACTACATCACACGTGCCTCACACTATGGACTTTTTTGGAAGCTTCCAATTTTAAATGCACACTGCTATCAGCACAGAAAAATAAATACATATCAGTTCTATTTCTGGATACAATTAAGATATTATTAAGAAATTGCAGAAAGAAATACATCTAAAACATAATGTGAATCATTACTCCATTTGTTCAACTTGTCACTGCAAAACAAAGTTGTAATAGACAAACCATGGAATCATACATGTGCATGTTCTGTTGAACACAAATAAACACTGCTGTACTGCATCATCCCAACAGAACACTTATCCAGGGCTTGATCTATTAAGAAAAGAACAGAAACATGACAGAATGCTGGAGGTTCAGAGCACAACTCGTAAAACCAGACACAAGGCACCCTTAATCTGAGACACAAACAATTACAAGGCAAGCCATTATGATGTTATGGTAGAAAACATAAAAGACATATAAACAATGTGCATACAGACTGCAATACATATCCAGTTTTAAATTTTCAGCTTTTAAGTATAAGAATATATGAAGTAGTCCTCATACCAGCAGAGAAATGAAGAGAACTGGCACTGTGGCCTGATCATGGCCAAACTAGTTAAATGTAGTGAGGGAATGTTCAATTGACTTTACACAACGATGCATTCACAACTCAACTTTATCATCATCAACATTATTATCCTCCTCTATCCAATTTCCTATTTATCATATTATTGCAAACCACAAGAGGTTGCACACTTGTTAACCATAATAGCAGCAAAGTGACATTTAATATAAATAGCCTAAACATCAGCATGGTGCAAACTTCATTTAAATTAATGAAATGACTCCCCTTTGAGTAAACATAGGTCTTTACCACAGAGACAAATACAAAGCTGATGTTTTTTGTAATTTGATTTTGGCTTGCTTTTAACAGTTGGAATTTTCTAAGGTGGAAATGTACAGTGGGCCCATAGTTCAGTATGTATCACAGTTTTTGGGCCATGGTATTGGTATGGTTTTGGTATCTATATATTTAAGAAAAAAATAAAAACATAACCCTTTAAACAACTCTTGATTTTGCCTATAGATATAGATAGTCCTTTTCCTTCTCTATTTTAAGCAGAGAAAAAGCTAGATAGGGGATCAATTTGGAGCTGAAATGCAGGAGGGGACACTGTATAGGCTACCGCACACTGGATGTGCCACGAGTCATGTAGCAGAGCAGTGGTATAGAACACTGGCACGGAAAACTGATAAATGTTCAAGTTCCTTTTTTTATACTCTACTCATAAAAATTAAATGAAATAAAGCATTCAGCATCACTTATCATGCTTGGCATTACTACGTCTTCACAAACTCACTGTTCTTGAGCTGAAAGATATGAGCTGAAAAAGGCTGATAACGTTAGCTGAGGAGACTTACCATTAGCTGTTTACCTAGAAGACTGGCTGCTGGAGTTGCTGAGCACCACTGCTGACGCAAGTGCTGGTGCCACTGAGCATACCTTCCTTAAATTCAAAGGTTTTAATTTTTTGGATGCTGTGTGACACAACCAAACACATCCAGTGTGTGGTGGTGTTAACTTCTTTTTGTCTCATCATCGTCATGTTGTTTTTAGTTTTCCCTCTCTTTGCATACAGAGCACTGACAGGCTCCGGCAAAATTCTGACAGGCTCCAGAACTGTACTGTGGATCTGAATGTACAACGTACATTGTACACACTGCACACTTTTTGTTTTTAATTTTTGCTTGGTTCTATGAATTAAATTGAAGTTCTTGCTTGATTTTTTTCATGGAAATCAGTAGTGTGATCTACCAGGCCCTTGATGAGTTGGCGTGGAATGACCCATAAGTGAGTGGTAGATGAAGGGCTGGAGGACTAGAGACACAAAACAGATATGCAGCATTCCTGGCTGTCAGCCCAAACACTCAATATGGCACCTCTGAATGCTACAGAATCTCAGGTTGATGTGTTGAGTGAGTGAGCACGTTCCCTGGGAGGAGTCACGGAATAGTTGTGACCTTATAGGGTTAGGGTTGTACTGACTAAGTATTAGATATATACTCTTAAAAAACCACAGACTAGAGCTGCCACATTTGACCTTGGGTGAGTTTTCTCAGGATGTATATCTTTTACTTATGTTTCATGACTCTTCCTGCTCTCTTCTGATCCCACAGTGCCTCTATATGTTTATAATGTGCTGATACATGGCAACAGTAAACTGATTTGCGCTTGTGACCTTTTCCTGTCTCTTTATTTCAGGTTAAAGCACTGAAGCTTTCACCATTCTCTGCTTCCAGTAAGGCAAAAATAGGTATATTTCTACATCTGTACTCTATATAAAACCTGCAATACAGACACATTTGAAACAATGTGAAATATTTATAAATGTAACATTTCATAAATGTAGCACAAACACTTATTTCAGTTATCATCACTTTTCAAATCACATGACATCCTTTAAATTCTCTAAGAATAGCTATGGGAGACGCTGAAATGGCAGTGTTCGGGGCTGCAGCTCCTTATCTGCGGAAGTCAGAAAAGGAGCGCTTGGAGGCACAGACTCGTCCATTCGACATGAAGAAGGAATGTTTTGTGCCTGATCCTGTAGAGGAGTTTGTTAGGGCTACCGTCACCAGTCGTGAAGGAGACAAAGTGACTGTGCAAACAGAGACAGGGAAGGTCAGTCCAAAAACTGCATGTTATGTGTATTGCAATGTGCCTCTTATGTATGTTTTTGTATAAACAATATTCATATGTGCCTTACCTAATTGCTTAATGCAATTTTAAACTAAAGTAAAAATAAAAGCAGAGGATATTTATCTTAAGTCCAAGTCAGTTGTAAGTCATATCACACAATTTCCTGCTGTAGTTTCAACTTAATGCCTCATATTTTAAGTTGTTGTTAAACCAAACGGGCTATGTCATTGATGCATTTTGTAAATATTTGAACGTTATTTTACATAGTAAAACAAGGTATAAGTGGTATCAAAAGCAATGTCCAGGAATATTAAAAACTGTATAGAAAAGTTATGGATTTCAAAAAAAAAAAAATCTCATTTTATCTGAATAATAGCTTCAAATGTTAAGCATTCAGTAAACAGACTTTTAACACATTTTGAGTATGTTACTCCAATAAGGTCTAAATTAAGGGAACTATACAACTAATCAAGGATTTGTTAATCTAGGTTTTATTTTAAATTAAGATATGCTGCAGCAATCACAATTTCTTAACAAATCTGCAACTAAAATCTTAATCTGTGATTCAACTGTAACTTGTAATTAGTTTGCCACAATAAATTTACCAAAGTAGATACAGCAGCATTACTCTTAGGATTAACCATTATTAATACACCCCTCTTCCTTTTGGAGTGAAAACAAGCATTGGGCTACAATAAAAACAGCCCTCAAAGGCAAAGAAAAAACAGACATTCTAACAATCCAATATCTATAACCTTCAAGGGAGTGACAAGGACAGGCTTAGCTAACCCTGAGAAGACTGCTTAAAATAAACACAAAACCCGTTGGTAATTTGAATTGAAATGTTGAGTTTTGAGATTAATTGTAAATTCACAAACATGCACCAGCCCCACATTACATTATTATATTGTACTGTGCAAGCGTCAGAAACCACATTTTTGTCTATGTACTTTCTATTTACTGTCAATGTCACTGACATTGTTACCCTTCAAAGTTACAGTAATATTAACACAAGCAACAATCCACACACTGCTTTGCAAACATCTGTCCACTGTGAAAAGCAGTATAAAATCTAAATCTAATTTAATTTAATAATCTTCTTGCATAATAAAGTTATGTAATATTAAAAAATTAGTTTTTAAAGTAATGAATCATTCAAAATCTGCTAGACCTCTAAAACTGTCACCATCACACATGCAGAACTTAAAGCTTTCATCTTTTAGATGTAAGAGAAAATTTTGGAAGTGTTTACAAAAAGCATGGAAAAATATCCATGCAGATGTCTTCGAAAAAGTGAAAGCAAGTCTCCCAAAAAGAATGGAAGCTGTAATAAATGCACAGGAAGGACACATTAAATACTGAAATAAATGTTGCATTATGTTTAGTTGTTGAGGCTTCTGTGTAATTGTCTGTTAAATACATGCTTCCTTCTCTTTCATGATGCAGAAAACATTATATCTTGATAACTTGTACATAAAGGCTGTTTTGACTGGAAATTAAAGAAATGAAAGGGTGGTCTCTGACTGTTGCACAGTACTGGTTACATGTGTTTAATGTAGAAAACATCACTTTATAAAGTTGTCACTCTGACACTCACAACAATAGTTTGGAGTCAACTGCAAGTTTATTGAAACAAACTCACATTCGACCTTCACAGCAGGAGACAAACAGGTGTGTAAGCCATCAGAACATTCAAGCCAATAACACCATCCAAAACTCAAAAACCAAAGTCCAGAGTAAAATGTCAAAACCAGGAAAGCGGAACAGGAGTAAGAATGCTCAGAACTGCATGACATGATCAAGACTTTGCAAGGAACATAACAGCTTATAAATGTGATGAAACTGGATTAATAGAAAAACCCTGATTTAACTCGTCTATATAACAATTACAGATATTTTAATGATTAATTATCATAATTATTATTTTTTAATTTCTAGCATTTCTAGACTGGTTGTGCAAGTCTTTAGTATGAAAATGGTAAGACATTCTGGAGTACAAAATTACTGCAAACTTATCATTGCAAACTTTTATCTTCTTTTCACTGTCACATTCACCTAATTTCATTAGTAAGACAAGGCTTGTTCTCCTAACCACAGACTAATCACAATATTTAGCAATTACAAGGTTAGAACAGGAACAAGTCTTTTACACAAATTCAAATTGTATTTGAAAACATTAAAAGCTTTACTACTAAATATATACAAAATATCAAATAATGCAGTTCACATTTATAGTTCAGTAATCTACTGAATGCTTTGTCATTTTTCAGACACAAAGTTTCAAGGACAGCCAGATTCTGCAACAGAATCCTCCCAAATTTGACAAAATTGAAGACATGGCCATGCTGACTTTTCTTCATGAGCCAGCTGTGTTATTTAATCTCAAAGAGCGTTACGCGGCGTGGATGATCTATGTGAGTACTTGAAGTTGCTTTAGATCAACTAAACAGTTGTATTATTATCTGAAAGACCTAACAATGAGCATTTCTTTCTCTCAAAGACATATTCAGGGCTGTTCTGTGTCACTGTCAACCCCTACAAATGGCTGCCAGTGTATAATCAGGAAGTGGTTATAGCCTACAGGGGCAAGAAGAGGAGTGAAGCTCCTCCTCACATATTCTCCATTTCTGATAATGCCTATCAGTATATGTTAGCAGGTAAACGCTAAACAATAATCTTCAATGAAGTAACTTCATTTGCAAGCACTATGCACTGTTCTTACATGTTTATAACTACACTTATAAGCACAGAAATTAACTACAGCAGAAAACAGTAAAAGAATGATGAACGGATGACTTGTAAATCTCAAAGTTTTTATTACAAATGTAATTTACCATTTGAAAATGTATTTCAATATACATTATGAATTTATTGTTTGTTTGTGCCTTTAGATAATTAGCAAGATATTTTATAGTAGTTGTGGTAGTTTGTTTTTGTAGGGCAGTTGTGTGTAAAAGGTGCAGTTCTCACAGACTCATTTATGAGTCAGTATGTAACAATCAGGACTGGACAAGGGATGGACACTAGTGCAGTAAGGTTTAATGATCAATGTACAAGGACAAATAGTAATAGAAAGACAAAATATGTCAGAAAGCACCATGAACAACAGACCTACTACACAAATGCAGGTAGCATATAGGTGCTCCAATTGTAGGTAGATATGCTAAGAAAAACTAAAGCTAGGCAAGTCAAAGAGCCAAGGTTAAGAAACACTGACTTAAACTGCAGAGATCTCAAGCACCCAGGATAAATTATTAACTGATATCAAGGTGAAGTCACAAACATAGTTCATTGACTTTTAAGTCAGACAGCAAGTTGTTTCTGTTACTTAATAGAGCAGTGTTACAACAACCACTTGATGTTCCTGACTAATTTGTTATCAGTATATATGAGCAATCCAAACATTGCTGTTGAAGGTCAAACAAGTTGTCTTTAGTGAAGCCTATCTTTTACGGCTAAAGTACGTTTAACCATTTGAGGTGTCCGTATTCAAATACTGAAATCATTATTTGGGTATTAATTTACACTTCATTATGATGGTCCAGAAACAATGCAAGCATATTTATGTGATAAAGTAACTTGTATTCCTCATCAACATTAGCTTATTGGCTCCTTTGAAGAGGCATCCTCTGTTACTCACCTGGCATGAAAACCTGAAAAAATAAATAAATACTAAAATATATTTTAACCTTCAGTGCTGTCGTCTAAAAAGTAAGGCTGCAGCCTTGTGTTAATTTTGGTATAAGTATGTATTTCCTTTTTTATTATTGTTTTTTTCTTCCCTGTGGTTAATCGGGTATCCAATTATTAACTTTTACATAAACCCAAATATTAGAATAAGTTGGAATGCACATCCCTAATAAGGAATAATACCATAAAAATTACATCTTGGGCTACCTCATTATGAACAAGCATTTTAATTGTTAAACTGTCCCAATGTTTTAGTCAAAGCTTTCTTTGAGTATGTTTCTTCAGAGGACAAATTTCTACACCATATTCACTAGTGCATAAGCTTTAAACTGTGCAAATATTTTGTCTATTCAACCTACAAAAAATACTACATGTAGTAGCAAGCAATTGAACTGGTTTTATCCAACTCAAGGAAGTACAAAGTTCTTGAATGAAACTTTATTCGTTCAGATTACTTAGTTGAGTTGAATAAGCCACAATGGCACCATTCAAAACCAGTTCAAGCCACAATGGTACCACACTTCAGGGAAAAAAAACTGTAGTTTAGTGGTATTTAGCAACTATCCTGTCTCTCTCCATCTCTTTTGCTTAAGTTTGACTTGCATCCACTGTTTATTTTGCCAATGTAGTTTAGCCACATTTGTCCACTATCTGGCCTCCTTTGTTAATTGTTCCTCATCTTCCATTTTAAAGTACTGATTGACAAACCACTTCAAGCACACACAGACTGCTAACAGGCCCTTAACCTAATATGATCGATCTGCGCAACTGCACTATTAGTTGTTATTTAGTTTTTTTTTTTAATGTGGTGCATTCATTATTTTGCCTACCCCCAAATTTACGGCATTGTCCAAATCTGTGGGATTATATTACAAACTTGCTATGACTATGAGAAAATTGGTACCTTTCATTAGGGTATCTCTTTTCAGTATAAATATCTGCTGGTATGACCACCTTTGACTGGGATTTCTTTCTAAAAAATAGAAAAGAAATTAGCAAAAAAACAAATAAATAATCAAGGATATGTCAGTCATCCATTCATCAATATTTACTGCTTTTACCTGCTCTCAAATAAAGTTATTAATTTGTTAATATTACTCTATGCAATTTTCTATAACCAATTTATTAACAAGCCTTTACTGCAATGTGTTCTTTCTTTTAGACCGTGAAAACCAGTCAATCCTGATCACGTAAGTTACTAACAAAGCACGATAATCTCTCAGAGCTAAATCTTCTATCATTTGTCCACTTACAGGAATAACAGATCTGCTCTTTTTAAGAAAGCAAGAGACAAAGCCTTTCAACCCTATATGGCCTTTTGACTCTTTTCCTGTTCATGGTATATGGCATTATAAATAAAAAGGAATCTAAATGAAAGCTTTTGTTTCACTATACATGCTATTAAAAATGTTTTTACCACACGTTTTAAGCATTGCCAGTTGCAATATAGTATGACAATGCCTCATACACTTACATTTTTTATGTCTACATCAGGGGTCTTTAATTAAAATTCAATAAGGTCCAATTAGAGAAAATATCCTCAAGCAAAGGTCCGGAACATCATAATGTCTAACTTGCATCATGATTCAGTGCCATACTGTATACTGAAGTAGCCTAGAAGTTATATCAACATCTTATGTAGTCAACAACTGAATGTCAAATTAAATACAATCCAAAGTACAATTCAGTAATTCTTAATAACATTAGTAATTTCAACAAAATTTATTGTCAGTTTTCTCTTTTTAGAGCATGCCATGTGAAAGAACTTCCCTCTGACTCACTCCGACTGCTGTGTCTCGCCTCGTCCCTCCACTGTGTGTGTGTCACTCACTCGAGTCTCAGTTACAATGCATGCAATTGGTCTGTGAGTTTCCCGGCCACTAAAGCAGTATCGTAAAGGCTAGAAAAGTTACACTGATTAAAATAGGACCACCCCTTCGAAATTAAATAATTTTCCATAGTTTATTGGTTATAGGTCCAGGTCCGCATAGGACAGCATCTGGGTCCTACATCATATTGCATTTATAATACAAATTTGTGAAAAATCTTATCTTGACCTGTCAGATCTTAAGACAAAAAAGATAAGAAGTTTCTGTAGAATGGCCCCAGGTCCATAACTAAAGATTTAATTCCAGTTTACTTAGAACAGCGTAAAACAGCGAGAAAGAACACAGGCTCTCCTAAACTAGGTTTTTAAGAGCTCGAAGTTCAAAGATGAGTAAGATACAAAATGAATAAGATAACAACTAAAGAAAAATTTTGAGCACTAAAGTGTTTCTCGTTACACAGCATCTTCAAAGCCCTTACCCTTGCTACCTCCGGAAGTTTCATCTACACGTCATTATGGAACACCAATACTGTGCCGTTGTCATTAGATATAGCTACACTAGCCAGAAGCCATTGCTAACAGTGACTATTATCCCAAACTGTTATCCAGCTAACTTAGAGCAGCTTTCTGCATCGTATTTACCAGCAATTTTTGTACTCATGTCTTTAAAAAGCCAATACTACAGACAATGCACCATCAACGATGTAATTTCTCCTATATCAGCTTAGTATGGACAGGTAATGTTAGCTGGCACATTATGTCAGGGACAAGGCATGGCTCTCCTTCAACACAAACAACTATGTAAAAGGGAAATCAGAATGTAATAGCACAACCACAGTACTGTGATACAAGCCAGGAGTCGTATTTTAAAGTGAGCAGTGAAACGTGGATCATTTTAGTTTCATTACAATTTGTGAGGCAGTGAAACCGATGTACTGCTTCAAAAATTGTAATGAAACTAAAATAATTATGCTGTGTGGCAGATCACTAATATAGCTAGCCAGCTAGCTAATGTTTGCTACTCATACGATGCTGGTTTTCCTTAAACTGCTAATTGTGGGCTATCTATCCAGCACCTGTAGCCCACTAGCCTACCATTAGTTACACGATAACTTAAACAAACTCTATCAAATAGATTTTACATATTAAAGTTTTGCTTTCCTCATTATAATGTTTCAGAAATAACTGACATGTTGTAAATGTGTCACAGACACATGCAGCTCCATGTTAGGCAGCTAATGGAAGCTCCCTTATTTGAGAATAAAGCTGTAGTTAGCAATGGCTTCTAGCTAGTGTATCTTGCTAAATATAAATGAAGTCTATCAAAATTCACCCTATGTATACAAAATTCTGCTTTTATTTTATAACATATATATTTTGAAAATAGCTGGCATGTTGTACAAAGACAGACTGCTTTCTGTGAGCAATTGGAGCAGCAGTAAACAGGGCTACACCACCAATACAGCATTTCAGCTCTGTTTAATGTTAAATCAGTGCTTCCATCCACTTCTTATTCTCCCTGTTGTAATAGTGCACAGAAACCAAAGTGTGGATGTTGCAGCTCAGTGTGGTATGATACACAACAATAACATCTTGATATTGCTTCTTCAGTAGTTTCATGGAACTGAAGTGAGTGTTGGCCTCGGAAAAAACAGAACCACAAATAAACAATTTAAAAGGGTCTACATTTCTTCCATTTACAAATATGAATATGATAATTATCCAGAAGAATAATGACATTTATTAAATCTAATATTAAGCTCCAAATTAAGTAAGTAAGACAGCCAGCTGTGTACATCTTTCCAAAAGTGTTCTGCCTCTAATTTAAATCTCTTCTGAAAAGCTCACTAACTGGATAGATGTTAAATATAATTTTAGAATATGTCTCTTTAACCTAAGGAGCATCACACAATAACTAAAAAATAAAAAGATCGCTCACTGATGCCTCAACGTTGCAGGGAGTAGGAAATTATTTCCAAATTATTAGACTTGTGGGGAGAGAAATTGTGGGTAAATACCATCTTCCAGAAAAAGAGCACCTGCTTGTGGAAATGTGATCATTTTAAAGGGATTCTTGAAAGTTCATAGTCACACTTAGCAAGGTATTTAAAGCCACCAACTCTTTTGTTAGGCATATACTACCATAGAGACTGTGGTTTAGTAACACTTAGCCATTTAACCTTGAACATCCCAAGAAGAGATTAAAAATCCAAGGCTTTTAAACCCCCGTAATCTTTAATTGTTTAAGATTTCCATAAATAATGTGTTTCACTCCTCTACAAGAAATTAAACATGATAGAGTTGGCTGATTTAATTGCTTTCTGAGAAATATATATAGACTGATATAGATAAACAAGCCTCAATACGACCTCTGTTTAAGACAAAAAAAAAATACAATCTAAAATACACAAGTCTCTAGTTAACCACTGAGTCTGCAAACTCTTCACTTTAACCTAGGAGTTATATTTAGCTTCCCATTATTACTTGCATTTTTAGTTCCAAAAAAAAAAAAAACACCTAGATATTTAACCTCCTCCACCTCCAGCACCCCCATGACCCAGAAGGATACATGTCTTAGAAAATGTATGTATTTTTACCTGTCTTCACAGGGATATGCAAATAGTTCACATTTTTTCAGGTTTAAAGTCAAACCTGAAGCTTTTGAAAAAAAAAGTAATTTATCAATTACTACAAAGACAATATCACTATTCTACAAAAATAAGGCTGTATCATCAGCAAACTGACTTCTAATAAATTCTCTACCTAAGATGTCTATGCCATGAATGACCTCAGACTTTTTAATATAACAGCCATTAACTCAACAGCTCAAATAGTAAAGGTGCAATTGGACATCCTTGGTGAATTCCCCTTTTAATTTTAAAATTTGGTGATGGACCTTGGGTAAGAGATATATTACTATAAATATAATTGGAAAACATTATCACTTTACAAAAATGAGGACCAAAGCCTAATATTTCCAAGGTTTTAAACAGAAATTTGTGTTCTAATGTATCCAAAGCTTTTAAAAAGTTAAAAACCGGGCTCCCAAGTGGCGCAACCGTCTAAGCGTTAGCCCTATCATCAGGAGATTGCGAGCCGGGAGTCCGAGAGAGCACAATTGGCCTCGCTCTCTCTGGGTGGGTAGGATGGCTGCCCTTCTCCCCCCATCATTCACTCAGCGCGATGCTAGTCAGCGCAGGTGTCTGTTAGCTGACGTAACAGATCTGGCGGTTGGCGCTTTCCTCCGAGCGCGTTCAGCTGTCCAGTGACGTTGTGTGAGCGGCAGTTCGAAAAGAAAGCGGTGGCTGGCTTCACAGGTCTCGGAGGAAGCCTGTGTTAGCTTTCACCCTCCTAGCGTTGATAGCATCGTGTGATTGGGGGAGTCCTAACTAGCGGGGTGGAATTGGAGACGACTAAATTAGGGAGAAAATTGGGGTAAAAAAAAAAAAGTTAAAAACCAAAATCAAACTCTGATGTCAAGCACATTGAGAATCAGCCAAATATGATTGTAAATATTTCTTCCTTTAATGAACTGGGTTTCATCACTTACCGTACTCAGCCCCGTTTTCAGTCTATTGGCATATAACTGTGAAAGAAACTTATAGTCACAAGACAGGAGTGTTATAGGTCTCCAGTTAGCAAGATGTACTTTATTTGGCTTTGGGAGGAGATTAAACCATGGTTCATGGTAGGGGACATGGTAGAATTACCTAAACAATCTTTAAAAGCCTCAGAGGTTTTATGTCAGGCCTAAAATGTTTATAAAATTTAACTGTAAGGCCATCAAGGCCAGGAGATTTACCACTGGACATCAGGGAAATCGAATTGTCAAGTTTGGAAATAGTAAGTCTGCCTTAGTAAAACTGATTGTCATGATCATCTACTTTGAAAATATTATCTTTAAGTGGATTAAAAAATAAGTCACAATCAAACACAGAATAGTTGAAATCATATAAATTGCTATAAAAGGAAGAAATATAATTGTCAATTTCTGTCTGATCTTCACATACCAGTGGTGGACAGTAACAAAGTAAATGTAATTCGTTACAGTACTTAGGTAGTTTTTTTGTGTATCTGTACTTTACTGAAGTACTTTCATTTTGGGCAACTTTTTACCTTCACTCCACTACATTTCAAAGCCAAATATCTTACTTTTTACTCCGCTACATTATGTGAAATCTGTCGTTCTTTTTGGCTTATGTGTGTATAAAACCATAACAGGCCAAAACGAAAGAAGCATGAAGCAAGCGCACCAATCAGGGTACAGCATGCACTTTGTTTTGAGCTTGTTTTGACCTGTTGGACATACCTACCCAGTGCAAGCATACGGTTCAATGTCAGTGCAGCAGTGTAAAATTTTGG